TCAAAATACAGAAAATCAAAGATAAATTCTTGAAAGAAGCCTGAGGGAAAATAGACTATAGAGGAACAAAGATGAGAATTAACATTCAACTTCTCTGCAGTTATCATGCAAGCAAGAAGAGAGTGGAATGGAATATTTAAAGTGTTAGGGGAAAAACTGACTAGCCTAGAATTCTGTAATATAAATTATCCTTCAAAAGTGAAGAGGAAGTCGAATCTCAGACAAAAATTGAGGAAACCTGTGGACAATACACCTGCTTTGTAAGAAATATTAAAAGATATTTTTTAGAAAGAAGGGAAATGATAGGGCTGCATGGAGACAGTGATTGAGACTGGGCATGGTGGTGCATGCCTGTAATCACTACAAAACTGATCTGTGTAGTGAGACCCTGTAGACCCTGTAGACCCTGTACTAAAAAATACAAAAGAAAAAGAAAAATGATAAAGATAAACTCAGATCTGCTGAAAAGAAGGGCATTAGAGACATAATAGTAAAGGTAAAATAAAAACTTCTATTTTTATTATTAAACAGCAATTTGTTAAAAATAATAGCATGTTTATTTATATATGTGTATATTCTTCTAAATCAGTAAAATGAATGACAGCAATAATACAGGGACAGGAATGATAAACTAGATTTTGTTATTTTTAAGGTAGTAGCAATGCCTATAAGGTTGTTATTGTGCTAGTCAGCTTTTCCTTGCTATAACAACAAATAGCTGAAATGGTCATCTTATAAAGAAAAAAATGCTTATTTTGGCTCACAGTTTTGGAAGATTCAGTCCATGACTGGTTGACCCTGTTGCAAATTCCAGTATAGTATACCTGGGCTTACATTTTTGGTCCTAATCTCAACTGTTAGGGAATCTTAGTAAGAATATCATATATATGCAATAATAAATGAAAAAAGAGGTTTGTATTTTTACAATTAATATGTCTCAGTAGTTCATAAACTCTTTAGAACACAAGTTAACCGTTTCTACTTTATAAAATCATCACAGTTCTTTGTGCTGTGAAAAATAGCTTCCGTGCAAGTTATAATGCAAAGTATGCCTTTTAAAGCTTAATCTTGGGTATACAAAAACTTAAGTACTATCTTATTTTAATTTTGAAAAACATTAAATCAGCATAAGAGTTTGTCTTTGCAACTTTTAGATAAAGCAGAATAGAATGATCAAAAGTCATGAACTTTTTTCCAAATTATAGCATGAAGCCTCAAACTAAAATAAACACTTAAAATAGTATATACATCATAAAATGTGATTTACAGTAGGAGTGCAAGGTTGGTACATGTGAAAAAAAATCAACCAATGTAATATGCCATATTCATGGTCGAAGGGAGATTTTTAAAACTCACATTCATTTCTATAGATCCAGAAAAACTACTGACAGAAATCAACATCCCTTTATGATTTAAAAAAGAAAAAAAAAAACCTCAACAAACCCGGAATAGAAGAAAACTTCCTCAATCCAACAAACAGAATCTATGAAAAGCCAGAAGCTAACATTATACTTAATGACTGAAAGTTTCCCTTCTAAAAGCAGGAACAAGAAAAGAATATCTGCTCTCACTACATCTAGTCAGGGCAATTATGCAAGAGAAAAAAATAGAAGGCATCTGGATTGGTAAGGAAGAAGTAAAGCTTTATACATAACATGATTTTGTATATAGTAAAATCCTAAGGAGCCTACCAAAAATTACAACTAATAAACTAGTTCTGCAAAATAACAGAAAAGATCAACATACAAAAATTGAGTTAGCAAAGAATATCTGAACATGAAATTAAGAAAACAATTGCATTTACAAAACCATCAAAAGGGGCTAGCCAGATAGCTCAGTAGATTAAAGCACCTGCTTAGGCAGACGCAGGGACGGGGGTTTGATCCCCAGTGTGCCATGCCAGCCCCGCCCCTGGGGGGTACTGAGACAGTGATTAAGGCTGGGCACGGTGGTGCTGTAATCCCTGCACTCAGGAGGCTTTTGAAAAACAGAAAGGATCACTACAAATTTGATCTGTGTAGTGAGACTCTGTAAACCCTGTACTAAATACATTTTTTTTAAAAAATCAAAAGAATTAAGATAGGCATAGTGGTACATGCCTATAACTGTAGCACTCTGGGTCATTAGGGCAAGAGGGTCTTCAAGTTTGAACCCAGTCTTAATGAGACCTGGTTACAAAACTTTAAAAAGGGGTTGAGGGTATGTGGTTCAGTGCAAAGACCCTAGGTTCTATCTCCAGTACCACAAAAAATAAAATACACAGAAATAACAAGCAACAAAAAAGGTACAAGACTCATACACTGAAAACTACGCAGTACAGATGGAACATAATCTAACTATCGACATCCATGGACCAGGGAAGCTCAAATTAAGATGACAATATTCTCCAACACAGCCTATAGAATAGCTGCAGTCTCAATAAAAATTGTAGCTGTCTCCCTCTTTGTGCGAAATTAACAAGCTGATGCTCAACTTCATAAAGAAATGTTAAGAGACTCAATAAGCAAAACACTATTGAAAAAAGTTGAACTCAAATATACTATAAAGCTACAGTAAACAAAATAGCATGGTACTACATAAGCATAGACTGGCCAATGAAACAACTGAGAGTACAAAAATAAAACCATACATCTATGATTGACTAATTTTTCACAAAGGTGCCAATGTAACTCAGTGAGGAAAGAGGTCTTTTCAACAAATTGTAGGACAACTGGGTATCTGTGTACATAAGAATGAAGTTAGCTCTTTACCTTACATCACAATAAAAAATAATTTAAAAGGGAACTAAGACAAAGTTAAGAAAACTATAAAAGTATCAGGAGAAAATATAAGTATATGACATTATCTTGAGGTAAACAATAGTTCAATGATAAAGTACATGCAAAGGAAAACCAGATAAATGGGACTTCACTGAAATCTAAAACTTTTCCTCATCAGAGAACACATCAAGTTAAAACAAACACAAACCCCTACGCTGATGGTGGCAAATCTATGGCACACGTTATTTGTTTTTAAGACAAAAGATGTTAATGTATGAGAGTTCTTTTTTCCTAAACTAAAATCTAGGGGAGCTGGGAACATAGCTCATTGGCATAAGTACATGCCTGGCAAGTGCATGGTCCTGTGTTCAATTCCCAGCGCCAAAAAAACAAAACAAAACAAAAAGGCCGGGGAGATGGCTCAGTAGAATAAACGCTTCCCTGGCAAGCGCAAGGGTCTGAGTTCAATCCCTGGTTCCGGAAAAAACAACAACAACAACAATAAAACCTCTGTATTCAGGTTTAATTACAGTGTTGGCACTCTCAAGTAAATAAATAGGTTTTGTATTGCAGTTTGGGCATTTGGTCTCTAAAAGATGCACCATCGCAGGCAGAAGGTATTTGTAAATCACCTTGCCTGATAAGGATCTTATATACAGAAACAAAGAACTTTCAAAATTAAACAATTAAAAAACACAGTTTAAAATAAAATGGAAATGGGGAATTACTGCTTAATGATTACTAGTTAAGATGATAAAATAGTTTTGGAAATAGAGTAATGGCTGCACAACAACATAAATATAATTAATACTTCTGAATTGCACATTTTAAAAGGTAAGTGCTACATTATATATCTTTTATCGTGATTTTAAAAGTAATGTAATATACCAACAACCATTAATTATACCATTAAGTGGATAATTTGCATGTGAATTATAATTCAATAAAGCTATAAATCAGCGAAAAAAATGAGCTCTCAAGCTCTGAAAAGACACAGAAGAGTCCTAAGTGCCTATTGGTAAGTGAAAAAGCTAGCCTGAAAAGGCTAGATATTTTATGACATATGAAAAGCAAAATTGAAGAGACTAATAGTTTCCAGGGATTCAGGAGCAGGAGGAAAACAATGAACAGACATATTACAGGGCATTTTTAGGACACTGAAACTATTCTGTATAATACTGGCTAGTAAACACAGGATATCACACATTTTTTCAAAACCCACAGAGCTGTACAATACAGGCTGAATCCTTATATAAATTACAAATTTTAGTTCATTATATCAATATTGGCTCACCAGTTGCAACAAATGTGCCGTACTAATCCAAGATATTAATAGGCGAGATCATGAATAAGGGTTTTGTGCAGACTATATGTATAATTTTTCTATGAACCTAAAACTACCCTTAAAAAAGATCCGCTTTTAAAATGTACATTTAAGAAAGAGACTTATTAAATTTTACCTTCTTGTGATTCATAAGACTATTCACTTTTAACTCAGATTGTAATTTTACATTAGATGGAGAAGAAATGCTTATTTTTCTACCACTGTAGAATATTAGGCACTCTGAAGCATCTTAACGTTCTATATATCCTTTCCCCACTTCACCTCCTCTTCCACCCCAACAGAACTATTTTACGATTTACATTTCTGTATCTATAGAACTATCCCCAGTATAGGAAGATAGGCTTTGAAGATTCCATAGTCTTTGGGAACATTTTATTTATAACTAAATTCCGATGTAATTATAGTTAGGAATTACAGCCAACATTATTATACCAAATGCCAATGCCTATTTTTTTCACCTGATTCATTTTCTCTGAGGTATCATCTTATCAGAAACCTAAGTGTGTTAGTTTTGTACATCCTCCTGAAAAAAATACTGTTTTCTAAAGTGCTGCAGAGTCATGCAAAGGATTAACTGTTCCTGAAGACGGGGCTGGTACGCTTAAGAATGATCATTAGCAGGGCATGGTGGCACAAACCTGTCATTTCAGCACTCTATAAGACCAAGGCAGGAAGATCACAACTTTGAGTCCAGCCTGGGCAATTTAGCAAGACTCTGTCTTAAAATAATAATAATAATAGTAATAGTAGTAGTAATAATAATAAAGTTCACTGCAAGACCCTATAGTTCAAGCCCTAATACAAATAAAATAAAAACAAAAATCTGGTCCTGAGTTAAAAATGACTCCTCTCAAACTCCTATTATTGGCATACTGTACAACTTCTTTAACTGTTACCTTGGTCTTTTCCAGCTTCATCTATGTGTTGAAAGTCTTTTAGCATTTGAAGTTTAAAGAAGCCCTCTCTGCAATGCTGAATAACTTTCTTTGATCCATTCTTGATGAGATAATCCATCAGTGTAAGGGATTTATACACATGGCGCCAGTTTTTCCCATGGTCACTGAGTCTCTGCCATAGCATATTCATAATCTCTGAGAGAGAAATGGTGTTGAAAGTCAAGTCACTGATATCTAGCATCAGAGAACTGGAGGGACCCCAAGGGTCATTAGAAGTTGCTTCCCTGACTTTTATTTCAGCATCTGAGTAATTTTTCACAAAGTTCTTCACTTGCCTCCTGAATGCCATAGGTAGGACAACTCTGAAGGTGAAATGGGGGACGAAAGAAATGGAATAGGAATGTGTGTGATTGGTTTATAAAATTCTCGACAGGTGATCAGTCCCCAGGTCTGCTGCTCCTAAGTACAAATGATTAATCTCCATGTTGGTAAAGTATCGATTTCCTATAAGGAAAGCACAAAAAATGTGTAAGTTAAATGAAAAAACTAAGTCAGTCTGAAAATCTAGGTTTAGTGTCTAAATCAGCCCTTCACTTCCATCAGCAAGAATGTTCCTATGATGGACACAGAAAGTGCCCTTCTAAGTGACTGGCTATAAGTGGTCTTTTTAGTCCTTTAAGTCCCTGCAGAAAATATCAATGAACCTCTTTGGCTAGAAATATAGTGATTATAATACATTACATGGGTAGTACACAAATTAATATAAAAGGTCGAATTTGAATTCTGGTGTCTCCTGCTTAATATATGTTATCATATGTAAAAATATTGCATCTGAAAATAGTAGTTAAAATGGTGGGGAAAACTGAGTTTTAGATTCTCCTATAGACCTTTATAGAATGAAGTCATTATAATCACATCTAAATATTATCTACTTTCTTGTTAATCTAAAAGCCAAGAAGGTCAACTACTGAGGCAAATACTTGTATGTCAGAGGACTCCACAGCCAATTTACAGTAACCTAAAATCAATGCTGTAGTCCAGATAATGACAGTAACTCATCTTTCTTTAAAAAAAAATGCAGATTTAGGATTAAATAGTACAAGTCGTGATATTTAAACATTCCCTAAACCCTTTAGTGACTGTGTGTCTCACAGACATTAAAACAGGTACATACAAAGAGAAACCCATTTAAGTTGATACAAAAATGGATTAAAACATAAAAGGGGTATGCTGCCCTGAAATTTTAGCTTGTGAGTTATCAATTTCTGATTTACATGAAAACATTCCCTTTTCTCTTTTTTGGTTACTTTGTATCAAGGTGGGCCACTCACTCTGCAATTGCACTAGTGATTCACCACTGATGGTTACAGAAAATGCCAAACTGATTTCAAGCCCTGACCAGCATCCAGAATCAACAAAGCTTAGATGATCTATAATCAGTTACTAGAGAAGCTGCGCACATACAAAAGAAAAGAAAATTATTTTTAAAAAATCCACAACAAATGTTTTAGTTTTCTTTCTCTTCCTTGACCTTCTCAGCTACTAGCTGATTAATTTCTGTTTATGGAAGGAAGATATATTCAGAAGCCAACCTAAATGAGCTATCACGTCTTTTTAAAAGGAGATGATAAACCTTTTGTAAAAAAAATTCATGCTCAAATAAGCAAGACAGACAATGCTATTGATTAAATTAAGGCTTCACAGAAAAAAGACTACCATCAATTTGAGGAAAAAAAAAAAGACAAGTGTGTTCCTACACCTTTTTGATTTTTCTCTTGTTGGCACTTCGAATACATGCATGTTTATCTGATTTCCACCTGCAGCAAAAAATGTGGTTTACAATGTTTTGCTCAGGTATTAAAAATTTCAATTTCTATTGTGGTTTTTTCCCCTCTACCAAACTCATTCAATACCGAGATGCACTGCAACACTGGCTTAGAGCAACAAATATTGATCTGTTTCTTCATCCTATTTTTAAAAAGTGCCAGAATTATAACTTGCTGGACTTGAACAACACCTATTAAATTGTTTTTTTGTGGTCATTTTGTTTTAGGATAGTTACTTATCTATATTTTGGAGAACCTAAATGTTCAATCCTAATTTTAGGTTTTCCTAAATTCCCTAACTTGCATTCATAAATTCTGAAGTGTTTTCTTAAACAATTTCCTGCCCCAGAAAAATATAAAAATAGCCTTCCACACCAAAATTGTTTAAAATGCATGTATTTGACACCATGCCAAAATCTAATACACTCCCAACCATTAGAAAAACTACACAGAAACAAGCCTGTACTGGTAAATTAAAATCACTAATGTACAGCGACATGAACTTTCCTTTGTGACGTGTACATAGAAGATGCAAGATGCCATTCTACTACAGCACTGTTAGTCCTTTTCAGGCTAACAAGGAATTTAATCAATTGGTGTTAGTTAAATCATATGTCAGTTTATGTTTTAGACCCTTGAATAATGTGTTCAGTCACAAACTGCATAACAATATTTTAACTAAAGATGGACTGCATATGATAGTGGTTCCACAAGATATCACTCAGTGACATCAAACCATCTTAATTTGTGAGTACATAGAATGACATCTCTACAACAACAAAATCACCTAATAGTCCATGTCTCAGAATGTGCCCCTGTCATTAAGCATTACTTGACTATATAGTGATATGACAACTGAGACAAAATTAGTAGTAAAAAGGTAAATCTTCACATGAACCTCAGTTGTCTGGCTTCCTTTATCACTCTAAATTGAGAAACAGGGGGAGAAGGTACTCCATGTCACAAATCTGTGCCATCTGCTCTAAGGGCCTTTACTGACCTCACTAATGTTTAGGTTACTGTGTCACATTCTTTTCAGCATGTTAGTTTCCTTCATGGCAGTGAGATAATCAAGTAGCTGTCAGTCGATCGCTGCCCTTCTTCATCACAACTAGAAACTCATTGAAGGTAGGACCTTGGCCATCGTTTTACCCCAGTAATCCTATGCTGAGTATACAGCAATAGTAGATACTCAGAAATGTGATGCATGAATGCCCAAATGACTGAATGAGCCTACTTTAGGATAAACCTGGGATGATTCTAAAGCCTTGAATTATAAACATGACATTTTAAAAATAAGATTTAACTCCTGTGTCAGGTAAAATTCAAGAATTTTAAGCAAATTATTTTCAAATAAATCAAGTATCTCTTGAGAACCCACTATTTATACAGCTTTGAAGAGAAACATAAAATATGATCCCTACACTTGAAAAACTTATTGTTTGGTTAAGAAACTTTCTTCCCAAGTAATTCCAAAGCAAATAAGTGAGGTTAAAAAAAAAAAGGCCTTTTGGTTTTCTGTTGAGACCTGCCAACTTCCATAATGCTATTTTTGTTCCCTAACCTGAATCACAGAAGAAAAATCATTTAAATTATCAGGTGACCAGAAGACTTCTAGATTTAATAAGCAAATTCAGTAGCATAGCTGGATACAAAGTACATACCCAAAAATCAATAGTCTTCCTGTACATGAATAGCAAATTCACTGAGAGAGAAATCAGGGAGACAACACCTTTCACAGTAGCATCCAAAAAAGTGAAATACCTAGGAATCAACCTAACAAAGGAAGTAAAAGCTCTCTACAGTGAAAACTGTAGTACTCTGAAAAAGGATATTGAAGAGGATATCAGAAAATGAAGAGATCTCTTGTTCTTGGGTAGAAAGAACCAATATAGTGAAAATAACCCTATTTCCAAAACTGTTATACAGATTTAATGCAATTCTGATAAAAATTCCAACAGCATATCTCACAGAATTAGAGAAAACAATCCTAAAATTCATTGGGAACCAAAGAGACCTAGAATAGCAGAGGTAATTCTGGGCAACAAAGGCAAAGGAGGGAGTATCACAGTCCCTGACTTAAAATTATACTTCAAAGCTATTCTGATTTTTAAAAAAAGGAGAAAAAATAAAAAGGATGATATCGGCAAAAACAAAACAAAACAGAACCAAGGATCAGTGGAACAGATTAGAAGATGCACAAACACTCCAGACATACTTAGCCACCTTTGACAAAGGTGCCAAACACATTCACCAGAATTAAAAGCGTGTTTGATAAATGTGGCTTTGCACATTCCAAAGATTAAAATTGGACCCATATCTTTCACCATGCACAAAAGGTGAAATGGATCAAAGATCTCTATATATTAAAACAAAAACATTTAACCTCCTGCAAGATAGAATTGGTAGAACTCTTGAAGATTTTGGTGTAGGCAAAGACTTCATGAATAATACCTTGATTGCACAGGGATTATCACAAATTTTCAACAACTGGATCTCATCTTACTAAAAAGCTTTTGCATAGCAAGAGAAACAACCAACAGAGTGAAGAGACAATCTACAATGTCTTTTCCCCACAATGTGGGAAAAAATGTTGGCCAGATGCTCCTCAGACAAAGGATTACTATCAAGAACATATAAAGAATTTAAAAAAAAAATCAGACTCCCTAAATTTAAAGACCCAATCAAAAAATGGACACGTGAGATGAATACACTCTTTTCAGATGAAGAAGTACAAACAGCAAGGAAATATATGAAAAATGTTCAACATCATTGGTCATTTGACAGATGTCAATTAAAACAAAGCTGAGATTCTGTCTCACCATAGAAAGAATAGCTGTTACGAAGAAATCAACCAATAACAAATACTAAAGGGACTGTGGGAAAAATGTTGGTGAGAGTGTAGACTTGTGCAACCATTGTGGAAATCAGTGTAAGACTCCTCAAAACAATGACTAGAAGTCCCATTTGACCCAGTTATTCCCCTGTAGGTACCTTTCTAAAAGAATTAATGCACTTCCATGTTTATAGCGGCACAATTTGTAATAGCTGAATCTTGGAGTGGCCCAAATGCCCATCAACCAAGAAATGGATAAAGATGATGCAGTTTTTTTATACAGTGGAGTACTATAAAGAAAGATAATCTTGAGACATTCCTAGGTAAATGGATGCACCTTTAGACCATATTGTTAAGTGAAATAAACACATACGTGTAAGTACTGCACTGTTTCTCTAGTGTGAGAAACTGAAAGTGTAAATAAGGACTGAAATGTATATTACATAATGGAAATAGGAAGAAAATGTTTAAATGGAAAGGGAAACAGGGAGGAAAAGTAAAATAAAGGAAAAAATGGAAACAAAGCTTTTGTAGATGGGGAGGGGGAATTGAAGAGAGGGGAAGGGAATGGAATAAAAAGAATCAAGCTATATCATGTACAAGTACAGATTCTCCATGATGAATGTGATCATTATTTATATCTGAAATGCACCAATAAATTCTGATTAAAAAATAATCAGGGGTCAG